CTCAGTCCAATGCCAAAAAACTACCAGAAGCTGCTCTAATCTCCTACAGAAAGCTATCAGAGCGCAAAGAGCCAGGAATGTGCGGTTTCAAACATGACCTTTCTGAAACTTCTCCAGCAGAAACCACTGAAAGCCAGCTAGTAGTGTCTCTTCATTCACTTTAATGCCTGCAAAAAAGGCTGAAGGATATTCTTGAAATACCACCATTATCACTACTTATCTACAAAGTCAGTGGAACACCAGTCAATCCACACCAGACTACGGATGAATTCACTTATCTATTTAAAACACAGAAAACCCCAACTATGAACACTTACATTAAAATTAATCCAGAAAAATCCTGACAACTATTTCCAGATGGATTATAAATATGTAAGATGATCTCAGAAACCAAGCCTTGGTATAATCAAAAGAGTATCATTAACCAGCTTTTATAACAAATACTGTTAAGGCAGATTTTTGGTACTTGGGTCAGGGACTCTGTTAAAGCCCACCACAAAGACCACCTTGTTAAATATGTACGCTAAGACAACATGGTAGTTACTTGGTGCCTATCCACCAGGCACAGAGAAACAAAGAGGTGGTGCTGTAATTGTACCTCACTTAGTTTCACATTTCAAAACATTGGAGTCAGCTTCAAAATATGCCATTCACTCCAAACCAGGAGTGCCAGGCACAGGGCTTGCTATCAGAAGACAAATTCCTCTTTACCTCCCAAGTGCTCCTATTCCTTTAAAAACAAGGAAGCTACAGTTCAGCAGCGCATAGGGTAGATTACACGGAGCACAGCCAGTCTGAAGCATCACAAGATCTAACTCAGGTCTGCCAACGTGCTACACATCCGAGCCTAGAAGATCTTACCTACACCCACAAAAATCAGATGCAATTTTACATCAATATAAATTAATCTGCAGCATCAGTGACATCTATCTTTTAATCAATATTGGTTAGGGTTTTTCTTTGTCTGATTTTTTTTTTTTTTTTAAAGTCTCCCAAGGGTGAATTCTGGCCCCACTTCTACCCCACCATTACAGAAGCTGCCCTGTTCCCGTGTAGTCCTTCCTATAAAGGACCTCATGTCTCTGAGCAAACTGTTAAGACACAGTGAACTTTTTTCTCTGTGTCACATGGTAAGCCACATCTTAACCCAGCACCACTCTGCCAGTCAATTAAAGTCTATCTCATTTATCATGCCTCTCAGTACAATGACAATGGAGAAAAACTTTGCAGTTGCATTCCCAGGGATGTCAACAGCTAGCTACCTGCAGAGAACATTTAGTAAGCTGTCCTTAAAGTCTAAAATTAACCATAAAACTGCTGTTCATTTTGAAGCTTGGGAAGAGGGAGGTGTTTTAAGTGTTCGAACGAGTGGCCTGACATCAAAAACTTGATATGAAAGTTTGCCACTGAAGAAGTGGGCTGGCACAAAGAGCAGACGATGCTTTTATTTAAATCAGGTTGGCTGCCAGCACCAGAAAGTTTCACTATCAGCACTGCAGATGCCTGATATCATCCGTAACACACAGCAAGCCTATTATGTTATTCTGTTTTGTGTGTGCGGTTGTATACATAAAAATAACGATAGTTAAGAGACTCTCTATAACACACAACGGCTTGTGTACCACTGCTGCTCTAATCAGGTATTCTAGCCTGTAGAGGTTTAGATCCTATCTTAACCATTTCTTCACCAGCCAATAAATATTTGATCTTCAGAGAAAATGTAAATTATGTGCAACATTTGTGTGTATATATATCTCACTCATCGTCAAGTGTTATAACTGTAAAAATCCCTTTCCATCTTAGGCTGATCAACCTGTTAATTTTTTTAGTATACTGTCAGCACTGCATTTTAATTTTTTTTAAGCCTGAAAATTATCAATATCTGTGATTTAAAAATAAACAAACAAAACCCAACATGCTACATACACACTCCTTCAAAAGCTATTTAACACCTCTGGTTTGCATGTAGCTAAGAGGGGCCACAAAAGAAATTGGTTTAGCTTCAGAAAAGAAGGTGGGGTTTTTTGTTTGGGTTTTGTTTTTTTCTTTTTAATGAACTTACCCTCTAACTCTGATATTTCTGTATTTTCATTTGAATTTATTTTCACAAATAGTGCACACCTTCCAGTCTTCCATTACGAACCTCCTTGCCTTCCATATAACACCTTTTAAAGGGTACGTGTCTTTTTTGAAAGGATCCCTGCTTAAAACTCCTGTAGGTCATCACCCTATTAGCATATTTCAAAGCCTGATCTCTCTCTTGAGGTGTGCAGGCCTCTCCCACCAAGAGAAAAATAGCGGTCCCCTGCTCAAGAGCCATGGGATGTTTTCAGAACCCCAAGCTCAAGAGGAAGGAGTGCATCACCTACATACACTCCCTTGCTTGAGGTTTTACTGTACTGTACAAAAGGAAAAAAATACCATGCTGACAGGTATCAGTCCCTTGCCACTGTGCTTTTGAACAGCACCCTGACACACCACAGCCGCTGCACAGACACATGTACAACTTCAATAATACCACTATCAGCTGGAAGTAGACACAGATGACCAGCCAGCCACTCCCTCCCAGCCTCCTTTATGTCAACAAATCTTAACCTGGCTGTTTGAGCAATGTTTAATCATAAACAGTTTTGAATATGCTCCAGAATGTAAACAAAGGTGAGTAGGAGAAAAACTGAGAGTCCAGTACCAAGAATCACTTGCCACTTGCTGCTGAACCAGGTAACAGAGAGTAGAGAAACAAGGAACTGCTGAAGAACAGAGTACAAGCACCTGGTGTTCATTTAAAACAACCACCATGCAACAACAGTAAAGTATCCAGAATTGTGACCACAGAAGGATTTCAAGGACTAAATGCATTAACATTCTTGGTTCTCTTAAAACAAAAAGAAGAAAAATTAAATTGCTTAGAACACCCACTTAGATGCATGGAAATAAACTACCCTCATCGATCTCATCCCACTACATTCACAATGCAGTCATCTTGATTCCCTTCTGTGTTGCTAATCAAGCTAAAATTAACTCATCTCCTGCTGCTTACCACACGTGCTAGCACCATGAAAATCAACACAGGGCAGAATCAATTGTCTCTCTCCACAAGTGCAGCCCACCTTGCTTATGTTGTAAATATGTATTTAGGACCTACAGGACCTCTTGTGGTATTTTAACTGCATTCATCATGGGGCTGGATAGCTGTTTAGACTGGCCAACAGAGTAAGTAGCTCTTGCAAACCTAGTTCAAATACTTCTGAACACCTTCCGATCATTATTGGCCCCTCTGGACCTCTGTAAAATGGGCTGCATGAAAGTGGGGATTTCAGTCCTGTTAAGCCAGTGTCCATCTTAGAAGAATGACCATCATACTCGTCACTCCTGCTTTGACAGAGAGCAAAGATGCATCGCAAGCCAGCATTTCCACAGAGCCCTGGAGGACTCTTCATCAGCATGGCACTTAAGTTTGGGGCGTATTCGGAGGACACAGAAATTAATTTTATTAAATAAATTAAATTTGCCACTCTGACAATGTTAGCAAGACCACATATGTACCATATTCTAGTGTTTGGTTTTAAAGCAGCTCCATTTTAGATCCCAATGTGATGTTTCAAAGGCAAAAAGCCAAATCAAAACTAAATTCCAACCCTACCAGATAATACCCATTAAACAAATCTAAAGTACAGATCAAATTGGCAGAACTATGGAGTGGAACAGAAGCTTAAAAGAAAAAAGCACTCTGTGGAGATAAATATTCTTCAAGTATGTGCCTGACAGCAGCCAAGGTTTTATGCTATTAAAAAAATATAATACACACCAGTGACAAACAAGGTTATTCCATCCACCCCCATGCTAACTTGCTGTCCCACTAAGTTAATTCAAGCACACAATGAAAGGCAACTTGTATGAAGCAAAGTAGGATGATACTTCTATATTCTGCTGTCACCACCCTTGTCCTATACCTATCCTTCATGAGGCAGTGGCAAACTATCCACTGTAAGACTGAAATGGCAGACGCTGCATACAGTCTTGGATCAGGAGTAAGTTTTGCTCAGCCCCTGCCAAGGGCTCAGAGGCATGACACATCTCACCTTCCTACAGGACTTCTCACATCCCACCTTCCTCAGTCCTACGGGGAGTACTGCCAAACCACAGTTCTCAGCCCCAATGACGACATGCAGCCCCCAGCTGCTTCAGGACCCCTGGACCATGGCTATTCTGGCAGTACCAGGCAGCGAGCAGTCAGTCTGACATTGTTTTCCAGAGATGTCATAGAAATGGCAAATACTAGCACTGTAACACACACGTTTGTCCACAGCGTTGGTGTGCCAGAAAAGGCTGCCTAGCCCCCATTCATGACGCGCTGAGTTTTTCCCCCCTCCAAGACAAACCTCAAGATAAGAGTCTAAGTCTGGCTTCCATTCTACCACAGCAGAGACCACAAGAAGCAACTCAGCAGAGCATGGCCACCACCAGCATTTCTCACTCCTTCCCTACTTCTGCGAAGTTAGAGAGCCCTTCTGAGAGGCTTTCCAAGCCTCTGCTGCTCACGCTGATCTTGGTTAAAACGAAAAAGGTCAATATTAACTATTTTCCTTCTTTGCTCATCTTGGCAGAAACACTCAACTAAGTATGTTTCTCCCTCAATCATAAACCACAATTAACACCTACCTCAGTGCCAAAAAAGCCCCACCTGCACCCACACTCTGGGGAACTTCCCTGTAACAGCTTCTACAAAGAGTTCTGTTTTCAATAAGAAATTAAGCAGTACACCGAGAATTAAATACGTAGTGACAGCATGGAACTAACTACAGTGCCACAGTTGGCCTCTACAAGTAGCACTGGTTATTCATTTCCATACCTAACTCAACAGCAAGCATTTTAAAACTTTGCTCAACTGCCGGGGAATTTCCAGCTTGCCGCAGATCCTGCCCCTTTCACCACAGAAATCTGGCCACAGCTGCCACAGGCAACATGCAACTTCGATTCTACTCCTATTTTCATCATACCTCCCATCTTCTTGGAAAAACTCTTCCTTTATTACTACAAGTATCCAGATCCTCAGGAAATTTTTATACCCTGGAGAAGGAAGAGAAAGTAACTGTTTGAAAAGATCAGTTCATAGAATCTCCTAATAACCATCAGTGAGGCACTTGTTCCAGCATCTTTATGGGATACACTAGAGCAGTTAAATTCTCTAAGTCTCATCTGCAATGCCATCAACTTTCTTCTAATGGGCCATTCATCATTGTAGGGTTTGCTTTCAAGGAGCCAGCCCATCTCCTTGAAAGGTCTCACGAGCCATCTGGAAAACTTTCCCTTCCAAATCTAAGGAACTACCTATAAGCATATTAGCAAAGGCTGTGCAAAACAAAATAACCTCTGTAAAGCTCAGGAGAAGATCCTAATTCCCACAAACATATGCCAGAAAAAGCTTGCATGTGGGATGTTACTAACCTTTGAATTCAATCAGACTCTTCAAGAGGGCTCTAACATGCAGACCACGACTATGATGCGTTTTCCTTTGAGGCTGGTTCAGTTCATATAGAAAGTGATTTGAAAGAGCTAATGTACTATTTATGTACATTATAAAAAACAATCCATATGGAGTCAGACTTTGCAAAATGTTCACTCAAGTCCATTCTACTCCCTCTGAAGACATTTCACAATCTATTCAATACCCAGTAGAGGAAGCTAGGATTACTGTTTTAAAAGCAGCTCTGAGGGCAATTTAAATGTTTTAAAAGCTGACATCTTCTGGACTTGCAGCCAAATAAACGTTTGGGGCAATGCAGAGCATTTCTCACACAAATGTCCGCGGAGTGACATCCACCTGCAGCCTCCAAAATACTCACATTAAAAATAAAGGTTAGAAGAGAATCCCAGGCACAACCTTCCTTCCGACTAAAGAGGAGGAAAAGAAAATAATTTTACTGTGATTCAGGAGAAGATGATGTACTGTATTGGCTTGTGAAAGACCACCTAGCAGGACATGGCTGTCGTGGTTTAGCCCCAGCCAGCAACTAAGCACCACGCAGCCGCTCGCTCACTCCCCCTACCCCGATGGGATGGGGGAGAGAATCGGAGGAGTAAGAGTGAGAAACACTCCTGGGTTGAGATAAGAACAGTTTAATAATTGAAATAAAGTAAAATAGTAATGCTAATAGTAACAGTATAATAATGATAATAATAATAATGATACACGAAGCAAGTGATGCACAATGCAATTGCTCACCACCCGCCGACCGATACCCAGACAGTTCCCGAGCAGCGATTGCTGCTCCCCGGCCACCCCCCCCAGTTTATATACTGAGCATGACGTCATATGGTATGGAATAGCCCTTTGGTCAGTTTGGATCAACTATTCTGGCTGTGCCCCCTCCCAGTTTCTTGTGCGCCTGGCAGAGCATGGGAAGCTGAAAAAGTCCTTGACTAGCATAAGCAGTACTCAGCAACAACTAAAAAACATCAGCATGTTATCAACATTCTTCTCCTACTAAATCCAAAACACAGCACTATGCCTGCTGCTAGGAAGAAAATTAACTCTATCCCAGCCGAAACCAGGACAATGGCTAAGATTGCAAACAATGTAAAGCAATCCCAAGGTATTTAAAATCCTGCCAGCATATACAACAGTGCTGACGGGTTTCTTCCTTGAAAGGAATTTAACCAGCTAAAGTGACAATGACTCTTGCAAAACGAAAGCACATATGTAAGCTGCTGCCACAGTGGTTTCATTATTTTTGAATCAGGAAATTTTAGAGAATTAACTTGTCATACTACTGGCATGTTCTAACGCTCCCCTTCCTTTACTTCAGTATAGAATACAGAATTAGGGAAACATTTTACTTCAGCAGATGTATCTTACCTGGAAGCTTCATACAGACTTCATAGTTTGCAATATCAGCTTTTTGGGGAACAGGATTCTAGCCCTTCTCTGCTACATGGTTTGTTTTTTTTTTTTTAATAAGAATTCTCATACTTGCAATATGATCTGGTAGAGCACAAAGCAAGCTGAAATTGAAAAGAAATTGTGAACCACTTGAAGAGGGTGCACCCACTTGTCACCAAGAGACTTTTGATTCAGAATTGCTGTCCATCAAGACAATTTCATTTCCGAGGTTCATTCTGTGGCTCTGTTTGCAGTGAAGTGCTGGGACTCTCAATTGTAAACAGATCATGTGCAAGTCTAAACTACTTGATTGCGCCTATTTTTAACAGCCAGTTTGCATATGGCTTGTTTACAGAAAATACAAAAAAATGCTAGCAACACTTTCATTGAACCACTACACATTAGGAATTTTCTCCTAAGAATTCCTATGCCTGAAGAAAACGTCTGTGCTTGCCTTAAAATTCCATAAAGACTGACATTAGCAGCAAAGCACACGCCAGCCTTTGACTTTCTCTGCAGATCTTCGCAGTGCTAACAGTTTCATTATTTCATTACTTGCCTCAAAACAAAGTGTCTGAGGGAGACATGGTAGAAGAAGAGAGAGAAATTATACAGCTGAATGGACAAGAGAGAAGGAGGCAAAGCCACCCAATTGCCAGGCTTGTTGACAGTCAACACCCCTTTACGCATGGTGGGCAGGCAGCCAATCCAAGGTACACCACGTTACACAAGCCATGAAACAATTAAAAAAAAGAAAAAGATCAATAAATAAATAGCAGTTAGCACACCTCCCACACCAAGAGTCCACCCTTACTAGTTTGGGCTATACCTCAAACTGAGTATGAAAAAGCAAAAACATTTTTGGTCTACCCATCAGGTGGAAAAAAATTTGCTTTCTGCATCTCGGCCTTTTCTCCTCCCATGCAATCAGGATTTTGAGTGTTTAAGAGTCCATAGTTCTTATGCCCTCGAGAGAGGAACAGCCTCAAGTTGCTCAAGAACAATTCCTTTAGCAAGTGCACAAACTGGCTCTGCAGGGAGTCCAGTCCTGCTTAGTCAAAATGTTGGTGGCTTCTGTACGTGGCCTTAAGGGAGATAGAAGATTAAACAGTTTGTGTGGGAAGACTTCCCAAGGCTCTCTTTAAAGTGGCATGAAGCAGAAAAAAAAGGGGTACAGCTATGATGTTACCTTTCAGAGAGAAGGGGAGGGATGTCTTTTTCCACGGTGCTTAGACCACCTCTGCAAGATCTTTTGTCTCCTCACTCTGTTCTGAAAGATGGAGTTTGTACTTGTACATGAAAATAGTCTCTTATGCTAGAAGATTCTTGAAACAGGATAAAAAGTGGTAACAATGTGCTTAAAGTTGTCTTCCACTTATCCTCCTATCCTAATCACACAGTATGAATTAACAGAACCAGACAAAGACTGTCCATCTCTGCGCTCTCGGCTAAGACAGAGCTCCCAATTAATTCCTGCATTATTTCTCCCAAACTGTCAAGATGTCCTCAAACAATATGAAAATTATATATCCGGTACATTTAAAGGAGGGAGGAAAACCACCAAAGTAAATCGTGCATACACAACAAATGACAACCCAAGAAATTAAACTCGCTTTTAAATTACTAAAAATAGATGGGGTAGGGAGGGAAGGGACTATCAATCAAATCTTACTTAGATTTGCTGAATATTCAACGAACAGGCTTCTAATAGAGTGCTCTCTCAAGACTGCTTGAAATTTCTATGATAAAAAATGCACGAGGACATGAAAAAAGGAGCAGTAGGATAACGAAGAGCAAAATACACAAGACAGAAGTGGATACAGAGTATTAATTAGGCCATTAAGATCCTTAAATGCTTTACTGTCCAATAAAATATGTATTTCATAAAAATTAAGTGCCACGCAGAAGGAATGCATGCATGCATTTTATTGAGCTGTTCTGAAGAAACTGAAGATGTGAATTACTAGCAAAAACCGTTTGTGGACAAGAGTGAATAGACATTAGCAGAATTGTATCTGTACTATGCAAACAAAGAATATACTGTTTGGATAGAAATTTTCATTCACATTTACGTAAGAGATTCATCTGCTCTATAAGCATCTCATCAATCTGCTTTTATAAGGAATCTGCAGTCAACTGACATAGGGAGACTTATAAATACTTGAAAAAACTACTCAGTGATTAACACTGAACTATTGACTGAAGTGAATGCATTAAGACCACACAATAATTTGTACTCAAAATTAGTCGATTAACTAAGTCTAGAAGTACATTAACACGTCTCTTCATAGCCCACATTCAGGAGACAAAAAACTGCTTCAACTTTTTCATTTAAAAGCTACCTAAAATTACCAGCCAGAAGGCACCGCACAAGCTCGGCAGTCTTCTTACGGCACTCACTGCCCATCCTGGACGTATGCAATTGTAAGACAACAAAGACCTTAACCACCCAACATGCTGCAGACTAAGCTCTACAGCGTATTTAGCTTTTACTACTTCAAAACAACCAAAAAAAGTGATCCTGAAGTGGATATCCTAGCCATGAGCCTGCAACATCAGGAAACCCTCAGAAAACTGCTAGATGCATGGGGACCAAACCAAAGAAACTAAAACAAAGCCGGTGTTAGGTATGGCTATGTGTGAGAGAGGCTTCTGCGCTCTGGACTGCTATTAAGAAAAAGGAGAGGAAAGAATCTGTACTAAAAGCAAATGAGATAATTCCTCTCCCTTTTCATTAACATTGCCAGCTCAAAAGCACGTGATTTCTCTTTTTTTAAACCACATTTCCACTTGGATCAGGAAGGGATAGCTGGCTCATCCACATCTAACCAGCAGTAAGGTGAAGCTTGGTTTGTTAAGAATTTCTGGTTACGGTGCCCCTTGGCTCTGACTGCAGAACACCCAGACGCCGCCTGCTCAGGCACTTATTAGAGCTAGAAGGAGCTCAGAAGTAAATTAGCACATGCCAAAAGAATTGATATGGAGCTGAGTGCTAGCAGAGATCCACCGCAAAGAAGAAAGCCAGCTGGAGGTAACTGTCAAATCTCTAACAGTGGTTTAACAAGCACCTCACCCGTCCGCATCCCTTTTGTTACCCCACAGGAGTGAGCGCAGCCCCCGCAAAGCGCAGCTGAACACGCTTGCCAAGCTCCACGCTCTGCGATTGCTGCAAAAACTGCTGTCAATAGCAGACACCAATCACTACACGTGGGCCAGTAATAAGACTTTATTTGCATGGCGTAAGTAGCAAATTCGAGTAGTTTCCTGTTCTTTACCAACATCCTGTTGCCACATCTACTCCTCCAGGAAACTGCAACACCGAGCAAGAGAATTTGGCATCCCACAGAAAAGCTCTGACGCCAAATGGCTATCAGAGCACAGTTACTAAGTGCTTGCTTACAAAGAAAACAATCACATCAATCTGGTTGTCATTTATGCTTTCAGTTATTCAGTGCAAGGCTGCGTGCCCCATTTTCTGGAGGGAAAACAAAGCAAAAAAAGCATTGTTTTGATTTGTTATCAGAAGTCAAAACAGACACTCTGCAGTGAGCATGCTCACACAACTGGCACCAAAATAACGAAGATATGAATTACTACAGGTTTCATCACTTTTACTCCTGTTTTCACAAAAGCAAAAACTGACACTCATTCATCCCCTAGATTTATATAAAAACACAACAGTACCAACTGGAAGAATCCCACAGTCAGCTAAGCATACATGTCATGATTGAGAGTTTGCTAACACAAAGAAGTAACACTAGCACAACTAGAATCTTACATTTAAGCCTTTACAGCTAAGACTCTGCACAAGAATGTACAAGACAAGTGTGGCATGTTCTGGTTAAAATAGTCTTTTCATAATGAGCCCATCAGCTAAACTGAACCAAGCTTGGTTTAAAAGAACACATAAGAGAACTTACACTGAGTTTTGCATAGTGTTAGTTTATATTCACAACCCGACTTACAGCACAGCTATTTTTGAATCAACAAACCAAGCAGTAGTTTCACATAATGAGAAACTTTCCTTAAACATTTAATATAACCCATGACAAATTGAGCTGCTTAGCCAAAAATTATTACTTGACATAAATTCCATAATTAAAAATCAAGTAATCCTTTATCACCATCTCTCTGTGCAACAAAAAAAACCTGTTCTCAAAGACAGTCTTTGAAATCAAATAAGAGCATGAAAAATCTAAGACGAAGCACTAAGACAGCAGCTCTTTAAAGGGTTTCTAGCGAGAGCAAAACCACCATCCACAAGTCGTAGCAAAGCAAATGATGCATTTGAAACAAAGAATAAAAAACAGGCTGCAAATGCAGATTACGCAATATTTAAGAAGTAAAACTACATGAGGCGTTATCAGAGTCAACATACATACGCAGCGTTTCAGAAACAACTAGTTCTGTAGTCGTGGTTATGTGGTCAAAGCATTTCCTTAGTACGTGTACGTAGGGCTTGCAGTTCCCTCCGAGATGTAAGGATACCCGCACTCGTACACACCATGATGGCACCATTCTAACCACAAGAATGGAGGCCGAGTGGTTAGTGAGGTCATCAAAACACTGCGATACGCTGTGTATACCTCTGTTTTTCTAGATTATGTCAATCTTTTTACTTTAATTAGTGCCTCGAGTTACTGGCTAACAGACTGTACAATCGCCCTTAGAAAGGGAAATGAAAAGACTCTTGGGTCTAGCTCTCAATTTTCTGCTTGGTTACTAAACCCCAATTGTGGAGACATCCCCACCACCCAAAGTGAACTTGGGTACTCACAATACAGAAAGATTAATGCACGCTTAAAATTTTGCAGGATCAGCACCTTGATATGTGCTGAGCGTATTGGACTATTTATTTTTGTCAAGTTTATTAAGTACCTAGGAAAATACCATTATAAATAAAGCAGCACGCTCTTAATAAAATTAAGAGGAAGCAAGTCTTCAATTTATAATGGGGCTTATATACATAATTTTTTTGGTTTTAATTTA